CAAAGGACCGTTTTTCTTTGCAACAGCGTTTATCTGTAGTTGACACAATTCAAAACGAACGTTCATGAGAGCCGTTTGCCCAAAGAAAAAAATATCAATATCAACAAATTGAAAATAAACGAAATGAAGTCATACTTTTGCAACACCGGGTACGCGACTCCGTTTAATTTCTCCTCCGTGTATTCCTCTACAGATTACGGTACCTAATCTTCAGGAACCCTGCCATAACAGGGTATTAAAACTTTTCCGTTCAACACTTATATTTTCATCTGTACATCGTAGATCCTTACTAAGGCATTCCCTTACTTCGCACACTCCGCTTAAAGGAAAAAGTTGATTTTTTTGAACCAGAAATAATCGATTGCCTGCCATTCTCTCCTTTCACAGCGAAATTTGAGATAACGGAAATGTACCCAGCCTGGACGCTGCAACTCAGTATGCTTCTTTCCATAACTCCAAGCCGTGACACGGCTAACGCAACTGAAAAGTACATAGCCTGTGACTACCATCGCAGGAAACATAAATTGATTTTATACATTACTGTATTTTTGTGCAGCACAATATCTCTCTGCGCTCTGGTTTCCAGTGATTTGAAAGGATCAACCTATCATCATAAAGGGGCGCAACGAAACGGTTTACTTGTTTTCAATACGGATGGTTCCTCAAAATTATTCCATCCATATTTGTAGCCTTGATATTAAGCACCTGACCCTGCAGAACAGATTTAAAAGCGCAACGAGTATGTGATGCGGTTGAGGAGGTTCAACAGAATAAGTTCCTCTGTTCTAATTGCCCTCGTTTTCAATATCTGTGCCAACCTTTTTCATATTTTAGCAGAGAAAGCAGTATCCTACTCAGCAAAATTCCATTTACTTCTTAACTATGTGATGTCAACGTTGTCGCATGATATTGACACAGCATTCCTACAGAAGGACAAGAAATGCCGCTTCACTACGTACGGCAGCGTTAGTTTCGACGCATAATGAGAATTAAATTGCAGGACCATGTAAGACTGAGAATGTTTTTTCTCCCTCCGCAACGTTCTTTACGGTAGAGCCTCAAATAAGGGGAAGAAATTGTTTGATAAACTGATTAAGCATCCAGTCTGCCATAAGTCTATGAACCTTTGCTTGTAAAGCTACAAAAACGGCAGATATTAGCCAGATATTCAGCATGCTACATGAACAAGATAAAGATACTTCAATATTTAAAAATTTACTCGTTCTAAGATCGAATTACCAGAGACTGAAGTAAAAGTGCTCAAAAGCAGCTAACACCATAGACATCACAAATCTGAAACATTTTGCTTATGCAAACGGCATAGTTAGACATTCACAACAAATACCAATCAATTCACAACGCTGGAATTCCTTAGCACACCGTACCCTTACTCCTAGACACCCAGGGGAGGGATATCATTTAATGCAAGTTTAGCACCTTCAGGAGCAGGACTCAGGATCTCCTAGGCGAGTTGAATAAATGCGTTTTCGGACCCCAACTGAACTTGCTACTATTCATTGGCAAAAATAATTATTCAGATGTGCAACTATACTGATTCCAACATTAACAAACATTTCTGTATCGATCTTATGAAGAACCGATTTTATCTGAGTGAAAATTGCTGCTGACCCCGGAGACCACGTAAGTTTAGGTGTTAAGGAAAACTGAAATGTTGAACACTTTTCTTGAATATATTCAGGAATTCTTATTAAAATGTTAACTTTTCCATATCTTGTCAGAAGTGAAAAAAAAGGAAAATACGAAATCAATACAATGTCTAAATTTCTTTAGTCTTACAACGTATATTTATGGTTAAACAATCTACTATTAAATTCTTACTGTAGCTTTGTGTACTGTAGAATCAAATAAATTTGTTCGAAGTGGTACTTTGTTTTGCTACGCAATGTTTTTTTCATAAATTTTTAGACATTATAAATCAGTTGGTTTCTTCTATGAAACTGCACGTCAATGTCTTAAACGCAAAGTTACTCTCTTTGAATGTCCCTAAATGGTGAAATGGCCTGTTAAATCCTGTTGCGAGATAGGAAGAGAAAGATATACAATCGAAGTGATTGATTTGCTGCAGACAACACGTTTCAGATAATCGGTTTATTGCTAGCGAGTAGTTGTTAGTCACCATGTAACAACTTTGTACAGAATGCAAAGCCTAGTGGAACCTCCAATGAAATGTCATAAACTTCTTGGAGTTGACAGGGTATAAAAAGTGTCTGCGAACGACTAGTATTTATTCGATATGGATGAAATTCCTGCGCAATTCTCAGGATCGTTTTTTTCTGTTATGAGATGAGAAAAAGATGATTTGCTTGTTTCAAAACGCTTTGCGAGTTCTATGCCACTGAAAGTTACAACACGTTGACTTGCGTTATTGAGGTGTAGTACATAGAAACAGAAAAGAGATCGATAATGCTTTGTGCTCTGCTTCCTTTTTTCTGTATGGTCCAAATATTAATTTGCACAGTGCAACATAAGGTATATGCGTATTCCTGACAATAAATGCCCCCCAGCGAAAAAGTTTAAAAGAATGCATTAAAAAGGCTAGGCAAAAATAGCACATCAGAGAACGCAATTCAATCCAGTAACCACCGGCATACGATGCGTTTCAGCTAGTCTATGCAATGTTATCTTCCATGAAAGAAAATAGCTGAACACTTACTTTTACTTTCATAACAAAGAGTACTTAAGTAGGTATAGTTTTTGGGAGTCCAACTGCATTCAACTGTGCCTGATTCTAAGGCACGAAAAACCTACTACCATGATTCATCTTCATCTTCATCTTCCATCGCCGCTCCGCCTTTTGGGTCGCGAAGGCAGACGCGTCAGACAGTGCTTCCAACGTTCCCGATCCAGTGCCAGAGTCTGAGCTTTGGCAAAAGACAAATGCAGTCTGGAACAGATTCCTTCCATATGTTTGCACCA